TAGAGAATGAAACATTTTCTTATGAACTTATATGATTTATTTTGATAAAATACATCATGGAATATAATCGTATATGGGTATAACAGAGATTTTATAGCTATAATTAGCTTCAAGCTTCACATGATTAATGAGATTACACTTTTATGTAAACGTTAGACTCAAGATCCACTGTGGTCATAAAGGCCATCAAAACACTGCTATGTTGGCAGAGGACAAAAATGTAGTATATTCTAGGAATAAGAATAGCTAATTGTTGACCAATTGTTGACTGGGAACCAGTTGAGTCCTCTGCACAATGTGACTTTGCTGCAGCCTGAAATTGAACTGCTGGTTTTGTCTGGCCAGAGGAGAACTGGCCCCCCGACTGAGCCTGTTTTCTCCCAAGGTTTTTTCTCCATTCTGTCACCGATGGAGTTTTGGTTCCTTGCCGCTGTCGCCACTGGCTTGCTTAGTTGGGGACACTTAATTTCCAGCGATATCGTCGACTTGATTGCACAGATACTATTTAAACTGAACTGAGCTGGATGATGACTTCACTGAATTCAATGATAAACTGCCTTTAACTGAAAATTTAGTGTTTACCGTTGTATTTTTGCATTAATGACACACTATTTTTCCTAATGAATGCTGTACAGTTGCTTTGACACATTCTGTATTGTTAAGAGGAAATAGATTTGTTGTGAAGTATGTGGAGATTTGTTTTGCAAAATATGCTTGTATAGTGCCAAGATATACACCATTTGTTTACTAAAAACAGAATAATAGAGGAGTTCTTAAAAAATACCTAGATAAGACCTTATAAAACACTTAGATAAAAGGTTATTAAATACTCAGAAAATGATTAAATAAACGGAATTATTCATGCATTATCTGCAAAACTGGTTATTTTGAATGTGTATTTAAATTTTATTTAAAATATCTAAAGCATTTACCTATGGTGACAAATTCTATCACTAATTACTATAGTCTATGTGGGCTCTTTTTTCCATTTTATTTACACAGTTGATGTTGCACTTTTGTTAAAAAAGTATGTTGAGGAAGCATTTCCTATTTCATTTGTTCTAAATAATGAAATAGGATACTACCACTTTTACTATTCTGCAGTAATTGTATACTGTGCAGTGTACTCGGTTTGCACATTTTCTGTATGCATAGAATACTTAAGTGACATTTGCTAAAACATCCAGGATACAACCAGAACAGCACACTGTAAGAAATACTGCATCCCATGATGCACTGCACCCAACTTGACGTTTCATTTCCAGTGTCATGAATGAACAAGAATGACTTTTAATCAGTTTGTTCTCTCATCAGTGTTATTATTATCATTAATAAATAACAAATTAAAACTTGCCAAAAACCATATGGACATATGAAATCTAATACAAAAAAATACTCAAAATTACTAAAACTTTGAATTAAATTAAAATGAAAATTAAAAATATAAAATAAAATCTGTCAAAATATTAACAAAAACGAATGGTATATCAATGATACTAAAGTAATACATTTAATAATTTAAAGCTGTTGCGTACATATTCATCTAATATATTTTGAGACAAAAGACTAAATGCTTTTCAGTTTTATTGAAGGTTATTAAATCAACTGTTTTCAGCACCTGATCTTTGAATTAAATTAAAATGAAAACTAAAAATATAAAAAGAAAATCTAACTCAAAATATTAACAAAAACTATAATGATATACCATTATATGTCTTTCTGAATGTGCACTACAATCCTTACATGCATAATTTGAAAACGTGATTTCCATAAACAAATGTATAAACAATAACACAAGATAAAAAAATATAAAAAAAGAATCAAACCCATTTTGTTAGAAATAGGGCCATGAGAAACTCGATCATTATTTAATATGCACAGAAAATGTATTGTATGATTAAATGGGCTTGTGTCTACCATCTGTTCTGCATTCAGTTGCTAATTCGTGTTCAATTAAAACACACTGACATCCATTATTCATACTAGGCCTGCTTTTGTTAGTTTGCGTTTTAAAAAAAGATGGTGTTCATCTTCACATAAGCAACGATTGCACTGATCCGTCTCACCCTATTAAGGTGATTTGAGATGTAAAACTGCTCTTGTAGTTTCTTTTGTTGTTGTGCATGTTTGAATTCAAGTGGGAAATCAGTATCAGCATTAAATGACATCAATCTGGAACCCTGGATACAGGACACATTTTCAGGCAACGCTCTGTAGCAGGAAGCTGCTTCACAAAATAGCATGTTTATGACCAAGGGCAGAGCCACATATAAAACAGCATAAAAACAGCTTAGTTTTAAAAGGCAGAGTAATTCCTGGTTTTGGCCTGTCGTCTGCCGACAGACAGCGCCAGGTGGCTGATCCTGCCAGGATGGAGAAGCAAATGGTCAGGACAATACACTTACCTGATTTCATCATATCTGAGGCTTTGCAGATGGTGGATCACTGAACTCAATGTGGACTTGACATGTAAAGAGTGGAACAGACAAGATCTGAATTCCAGACTGATCAGGTTTTGTGCCCCGACTAATAACGATCAAACAAGCTTTATACATGCACTGCATTTAAAAAAAAGAAATTATATGCTAACTACCATCCAAAATATGTAATGGTTATATTAATTTAATAATTGACTCAGTTATATATATCTATACATATATTTTTTTTTTTATACGTTCTATTTTGTTTCTTCATTAGAACAGATTTGGAGTAATTTAGCATTACAGCACTTGCTCACCAATGGATCTTGCAGTGAATGGGTGCCGTCAGAATGAGAGTCTGTCTTTAACTTTAAACTGTCGCTTCTGGCCATAACCCATTATAATGCTACCTCCATGCAGTGATAAAGTTCATCCCCTGTTGTTCTCGTACAACTCACAACTTCTTGTAAACGGTGCCTGATCTGTGCATATTTCTCTCCTGATTCAGACGAAATGGCTATTTCGCTAGAGAAAGCAATGTTATAGAGCAGTGGTTCTCAAAGTGTGGGGGGCACGCTTTTTTAATTAAAAAAGCATTCATTTTACATAATGTTTAGTGTAATTATTTGGTAGTCTGAGGTGGGATGGGGATTCGAGGGAGGGCAGATTTTTTTATAGGTTTAAAGGGGGTCGCGACCAAAAAAGTTTGAGAACCACTGTTATAGAGGACTCATATTTTAGCCAGAAGAAGCAATGGTTAAAACGTCATAATGTGGATTTGTTTCTTAACACATACACAGCTTTTTACATCACAATATATTAATTAATGTACAGGAGTTGTGGATTATTGTGAAGTTTTTATCAGCTGTTTGGACTCTCATTCTGACGGCACCCATTCACTGCAGATGATCCACTGGTGAGCAAGTGATGTAAAGCTAAATTTCTCCAAATCTGTTGTGATGACGAATCAAACTCATCTATACCTTCAATGTCCTGGGAGTGAGTAAATTTTCAGCAAGTTTTCTTTTTTTGGGGTGAACTATTCATTTAAGAAATTAATCAGTCATTTCACAATCACAAAAAACTTCCCTGTTATTTAGTTTTTTATGAATGTTGGAACCTTGTATATTATTTTAATTGTAATCAATGTTACAAACATTGTCAAACCAATACATCTAAACAGACTTTTTACACCCCAAAAATGTTGGACTTTTATGCACGGATTAGTATAATGGCATTAAAAATTTGCAGCTTTCTTAAAGCACAGTAAATTTGTAAACATCTGAAGTTCTGGATCGTTGTTCTGCTTAGCTGTAAATCACATTGAAAGTATGAAGCATAGAACAGTGTCCGGAAAACTATGTCTCATCTATGTTTCAGAGGGGTTCTGCATCATAGTGTATAGCATCAATGGAAGGATTTAAACAGGATCAGAGTTCCCTGTAGTGTTGTGGGGCTTAACGTCGTCACTGTAGACAGCTTAATAATCCCACGAGCCACACATTCATTGCCCTCAGCATGTTTACATACACCCACAATCTATCCACCACGGCGTACCTATTTTCTAACCTACAGAACCAACAATGACACACGGGAAATGATGCGTGTTTCTGGGCGATGCTGTTCAGTGATAAATCTGAGCCTCTGGACCCCAGAACTGTAGCACTTAACTCAAAAACATCATGAAAAAACAGCCATCTCTATTATTTGGGGTTTCTAAAGAAAGCTTAGTTATACAAATGTAAAATGTCACTTGACACTAAAAAGTTGTTTTTTTATTTTTTGGAAAGAGACTGTGGTGGTGGATTTCCATTTGTACGTCAAGAAGCTTTTAATTAATACTTTGTTATAGAATCTTTCTTGATTTTTCTTACTTTATACACACACACACACACACACACACACACATATATATATATATACACACACATATACATACATATTTACTATTAAATATTTGATAATTTTTCAAGTAAAATAAATATTTGTGTTTTTTACAGTATAGCAAAACTGGGACATATTACATATTTACGTATTTAATGTTTTATTTTTATTATTTAATTTGTGATTTTTTTATAGGAAAACATTTTATAAAAATATGATTTTTAATTTTTTTTTGCGCAATAATACTACTACTAATAATAAAATATTTACTTTTTTAGAACAGAGCAGAAGTAGGAAAAACATTTACATATTTAAAATATATAAATGTGATATTTGTAGTAAAAAAAATCTAATTTTTACAGCAGAGCAAATCTAGGGGAAAAGGTTTACATGTTTGAAATTAAATAGAAATGTGTGATAATTTTTAGATTTAGTCTAGTTTTAAATAAAAGTTTTTTTGAACAGCAGAACTAGGATAAACTTTTTATATTAAATATAAATATATGATAACTTTTAGATGTTTTTTAAATTTTTTTTTAGATTTTTTTTTTTTTTTTTTTGGAGCAGAGCAGGAAAGAAAAATCCCTGATTTAAAATTTTACATATTTCAGTGACTGTTTTAGACTTGGAAATAACACTTCCTTGATGCTTCTCGGCTTTCCGAGATGATTTCTCTTGAGATGGCACAGCCACACATTAAGACAACCTTCTTTTATTTGACTCAATCACAGTTAACACTGATATGATTATGATGACAAACATGATTTGGAATGTAAACACTCAATAGTCCTGGTCTGCAGTCTGACCTCACAGTCAATGTCCACATCTACCGATGACGGAGCTGGAGAACACCGAGAGAGTTTTTGGTGCAACTTTCATCCTGAGATGCTGAGGCTGGCAGGACAAATGAACAGAAGTTCAGCTCTGGATGGATGGATGGATGGATGGATGGATAGATGATGACACATGAGATCTGGTTTGGGTCTGCACTCATGTTCAGTTCATGTACAGTTCATTGTCCCAGATCAAGGATGAGGTGATAACAAACGAGGGACCTGTAGTCCTTAAAGGGTCGTCTAAACAGAAATCTTCTGAAACGCTTCAGAAAGACGCAGAGAAGACCAAGCAGGAATAAAGGAACAGAGGGAATGGAGAGAAGATTATCGGGAAAGATGGGTAAGGCATCCATGCTCTGTGCTGGAACTGTCCAGGATGGGCAGCACCACTGAAGTCTACAAACAGGCCGATACTGCATTGCTTGATAGCCAAGATGGTCAAACAAACTCTGGCATATTCATACATTCATTCACTCACACACACACACAAACACAATCACACACGTGTGTGCACAAAAAGAGTTTAGGAGGAACACCTTGGGACCAAATGATGAAGCACTGCAGGAGCTTTTTGACTGCGCTGAAGGAAAAATAGCAGGAACGGCAGGTCAGCCTTGCACTCTTTTCCGGGTGTGTTTGGGTCGTCTCGGTTTGAGGATGACATATCTGTTGTAGGTGGTGTACTGCTCAGACAGAAATGGGATAAAAAAGGCCCTGAGCAATCTGGAGGACCTGTGTGGGAGACACGAAAAGGGAACAGCACCAGGGTCATGAACAGCGAAAAATAGCGTAATATGCACAAGACGGTCTACAAAATCCATCATTTTAGATCCACTTTCTTTAAAAATAAAACATTTCTACATTTATTTCTTCATGAATAATGACACCCAGAAATAATTACTGATAAACTGGGTCAAGGATAATCTCTCTTAGGATGATCAGACATCCAGTGTCACAACAATTTATGTTGAGCACTTGACAAAGATGTCATAAGAACACAAGTATCTTTAAAAGAACAAGGGGGCCCTCTAGTGGGCCCTACGATTTTCAATGATTCTTTACAGTAGTATTCATCACTCTGCATGGATTATCCACAAGAATCTCTTGTACATTTAACAAATTTCCACGCGTTTGATGAATGTCCATACTCCACACATAAAGACTTGCCTAGTAGTGTCTAAAAAAGGCTTTTCAGCAATAATGCTCCACTCCTCTTTGTTAGTGGCATATCGTGGTTCACGAGGGGCTTCTGTTTCTGTTGCCAGATCCACCAGGTAATGACACTGCTTCAGTTCTACCTGAGAGCCAGAGAACATGGAAGTACTTCACATACAGCTGCAACAATGACATATGCAGACATATGTAAAGATTTTGGATAAGTAACACTAGTTATATTTCTTTGAACTGGTGTAGAGTAAAAAAATATATATATAAATAAATAAAAGGGGTGTTAAAGATCTCAATAATTGATTTTCCAAAGTAAAAATGACATTCAAACTCTTTAGAGTGAAATTGATTTTTACCATTAACAAATAAAGAGGAACTACTATGGGGAGGAAAAGTAAAATCACTGTTGATCTTGATTCTTTAAAAAAAGAAAACAACAGAGTGTCCTTTTACACATTCAGCTCAGTTATTAGGCTTTACAACCTTGCAATGAGTCAAATGCCAAATTGAGGTGTTTGTAGTGGAACGCTCACGTATCGTGACGGCTCCTCAAGATTCTGATCATTCATGTCTGATGGGATTATCCAGGTGGCATCAGGACCCATGGCATATGGCTTAGGCAACTGACCCCTGAACTCTGACTGGATGAACTGTAAGTGCCAGCTGCAAAATAAGACTATACAGTTAACAGTTAATATATATTATAGATCTAAAGTACCGTTCAAAAGTTAGAGGGTGGTAAGATTTTTTTTTAGGTTTTTGAAAATAGTTTCTTATCTTATCCTACGGCTGCATTCATTTGATCAAAAATATCCCAAACTGTAATATTGTGAAATATTATTACAATTTAAAATGTTTTATATTTCAGTATATTTTAAATGTAGTTTATTCCTGTAATGGCAAAGCTGAAATTTCAGCATTTATTACTCCAGTCTTCAGTGTCACATGATCCTTCAGCAATCATTCTAATATGCTGATTTGCTGCTCAAGAAACATTTCCTATTATTATCAATGTTGAAAACAGTTGTGCTGCTTAACATACACTCCTACACTCTTACCAGCACTCACACACATCATCAACACATATCTTCTCACAGGCACTTTCCCCACTGCATTCAAGCAGGCTCGGGTAACCCCACTGCTCAAAAAACCTACATTAAACACTTCACTTACAGATAGCTACAGATCTGTCTCTCTCCTTCCATTCATAGCGAAAACCCTCGAACGAGTTGTTTTCAAACAGGTATCATTGTTTCTTTCACAGAACAACAAACTGGACGCTAACCAGTCAGGTTTCAGGAGTGGCCATTCAACTGAGACTGTGCTAATGTCAGTCACTGAAGCTGTGTGGATTGCAAAAGCTGATTCCAAATCATCAGTTCTTATTAATCTATCTGCTGCTTTTGACACTGTCAATCATCAGATCCTCCTGTCCGCCCTCTCATCACTGGGCATCACAGGGATTCCACTTCGCTGGTTTGCAGTCTTTCTCACTGGTAGGTCTTTCAGGGTGGCTTGGGGAGGG